ACAGCCAGATGAATGACAGCCGAATAAATACCTAAAATTTAGGTGACAACAGAAAAATAACCAGTCTGATCAATCCCCTGCCGACCTCCCACTCAATCAGACCCTGATAAGCTCATTTCAAACATGGCGTTAGCAATCCAGTGAGCTTTCTCGACTGTAGCGCGATTCTAATTCAGTGGAATATTTGAAATAGCTTAACATTTTAACTTAACCGACTAACAATTTTAATTTTATTACAAACAATTCAAAGAATAAAAAACAATAGTTCTATTTATAATTATTTATCTAACTATAGCACAGATGACCACAGACGTTTCGAGAGTCTGGAGACCAAGGTAATCATTCGATTTTCTAGTTAACCCTCGTATAACCACTTAAATTCAGCCGCAAGTTGGCTGATGTTTAGATAGCCCCCTTTGGAATAGCAAAGACTTAAACAAGTTACAACTCAGGCGTTTTAGGGAGGCTATGAACTCAACGGAATGCCTTTTCGTCAAAACATAGGTATGCCAGTCTACAAAAATCACTTTGTTCACAGCTGATAAATTGTATGAATTCCTATAAAAATTATTCGGACTGCCTAGAAGTCTGAAGAAGCTATAGCTTATGTTGCAAAAACCTAGGTGCTTGAACTTCGTCAGAATCCGGAGCGTTAATGTAAACAACCTAGACGGGTATTAAAGCATGCAAATAATTGCTTCCACGTTATGAAACCGCAAAAATGTTAATGTTAGCTGCTTTGTCTGAACCGTAACAATACGACACATTGTTGTTGGAAATATGTTTATTATGAAATGTTCGGCTTGTTGCTGAAGAGAGCACGTACAAACAACTAGAAATGAAGCCACTTATGACTAAGAAGACATCAGCGATTCACATTTGTGAGTTTTAATTTTCTACCACTGAATGATTTTAACTGATTTTAACTACTATACTGATACAAAAGTAAACAGACTGGAGACAATTACGACGGTGACGGCAACGGGAACGCCTTGAACTCAATGGGCTTGGGAAGCAAAATAACAAGTCTGCACGTGCATCACGCTATTTTGTAAATTTCTTTACGCTCCCTGCGAATCTACGACGTGAGATAACTGACTGATTTTAACTTTACTTGCGAACGGGAACGCTAAGGCCATAAAGTCGATAAATTTTATTATTTCTGCCTGAATTCGGACGCGGTCTCCACTCCGCATTCGACCAAATTTCCCTTTATTTAAGAAACCGGGCAACTTGAGTTAAACGCGAAAAAGTTTTACAGGATTTTCTTCGACATTGGCGCCACCGTTGTCGTAAGTCACCGTAGGTTCCCTCTTATGAGTCAGAAACAAGGACGCAATTAATTAACAGTGACCTTCATCCACATACATGGCTAGTATAATTCTATTATTGTGAAAGAACAATTTTGTCAGAAACTTTCACGATCTGATTAAAATTTACACATGTATGAGGGATTGTAGGAAAAATGTATTCATTTCATACATGTAAACGTCAGCAGCGGTTGGAAGAGGCGAGGCAAGGGGCAAATATTGCGACAGAATTTCGTTTAGTCCCGTTGATACACCTGTCTTCAACTATACTGGATTTCCTTGACTTGGTCATCAGAGCCAATTCCGTAGGTTCATGGATATGTAGGCAGATCGTCAATCTTGAACGCAACAGAGACCAGCAACTCATCGACATTTATATATATGTTGCAGTTAATTTTTTATTTCCTTTGTTTTAGGGTATGGTAATGTATGCTAATGAATTTGCAACGAAGGAAAAATAAAAATTAACTGAAATAAAATATGAAATAATAATCTGCAAACGTTTTCCGTAGCACGGAGGCATAAGTAAACTTGCGATTTTTGTAATAAGTAGATGTTGCTATTTTGTTAGTAAATCAGTCTGCATATAGCCCGGATGGGAATGCAGTGGCATCAGCTGTGGAAATGTAAAAAATGTATTCAGAATAGGAAAAACAAAATAGCCGACTAAATAGGAATACCTCCAGGAACTAAAGTGGATCTTCAAAAGAACTTTCAGTAAAATATATCACGTTGGAGGGTGCATGAAAGGTCTCATGAGCAACAAATGAGCGCCTGTTTAAGACAAAGTCATCACTTTGGGGCTTGCAATGATCGTTTCAATTTATGATGTATACTAAAGGTACTTGTGATGTCAAGAGACTAGGAAAAGAGAGTACATGCCAATGTCAAGCGTCTGAGTGACATTAATTTGACGTAAAAAGACTTGATTCATAACAAGCTTAGCTAGAAATACAACATCGAAACGTTTCGGCTTCTTCCTACTGCCTCCTCTGGCAGACTGACTTATGATAAGTTAAAATTTATCACAATCTGGTCCCAGCGAACCAATCCGAGAGTATACGAAATCAATGATAAATAGTCATTGTGGTAATCAATATTAATGGTCATAATTTCCTCACCTATTTAATCCCAATTTAACCTATTCTTAATCCTGTTTTTGTTGTACTGTACAAAAGTGTAATATTTTCAATTGAATTTTAAGTAAAGGTCGTTTTCCATGTCTTTCAGTATCACAAATTGAACCCCAATACAGCTTAACTTCCTCATTTCATAACGTGTACATAGTCTGACTGAACTTACAGTTTGTTTTCAATCTTTAATATGACTGCTGGTTTGGAAAGTAAACAAGACAGAAACGTATAGATCTAATGAGAGCTTGAGCTGACGTTAACAGTATTGTTTCCTGAAGAAATTGACATGTTGTTGTCAAAAGAAAACGCTTAAGTTCTGTGAAAAGAAAGAAAATTTGACGTAATCCCTGAAAACAATGAAGGGCCATTTCTGGTGTGCGAATACAAAAGGCCATGTAATTTAACATTATTCGTTAATGAGAAAATAACATATTCCATTTTGTTGTTACAGAAAGGCACAAAGGAAAACGAATTTATTGGAGCACAAGGTACGATCTTAGTTTTGTTTGGCCATGTCACCGAAAACGTGAAGTGATTTGTGCGTGTTTGATGGCCATGCCTCACAAACGTTTATTTGCCAACGTGGATCCTGTATTGGAGTTAACGAAGCACAACACGACGCCTTTAATAACACGTGGAAAAGCTTCTAAGCGACTCAAAAGTGGTGCAAATGAGTTTGTACTTGAAAAATACACTGGAACGAAAAAAGACCGGCCTAAATCACGACAAAGAAGTAAAACTCCGGACATTGGCAAATGGAATCGGGAAGACTCAAGCCTGAATGATCATAATCTTTCTAAAAAGGTGAATTTCTCACCAGCGTTTTCACAATCATATGCTAAGCCCGTTATGAACCCGTCAAAGACTAAATCAAGAACAGAGGTACCCTCCGAACGATTTGACCCAAAAGCAACTGGAGGAACGCCTGATATATTAACGGATAGAACATTTACTATAAACAGCAGGGGACGCAAAAGTGGAGAAACTCCACCAGATAGACCTCAGGCTTCTGTAAAATCCAGACGTCGCTCACTTTCTGTGCCTCCTGACCCTGGAGAAAAGTACTCTATTTCAACCATTGTAAAAGCTCGGAGCTTGGCGATGAAGTGGCGAGGAAAGAATGGCAGAATGGGAAGAAGGCACACAGTTCTACCCACGATAACTGACGATTCCACAAAGTTCTCCCTATGCGCAAACGTCAAGTGCAGTCCCCAGTTTGAGGCGGTGATAAAGATCTTACAAGATGACAACCCGGAAGATGTCGATGATACATTGAAAAGCTTTGAGCTACTTAAAATAGATTAAAGAATTTATATGTGTGGCTTTTAATGGCACGAATGACATCGAAAGCTCTTCGCTTAAAAACAAATCGACGGCCGAGTAAACGTATGTATTGAAACGTCTTTGAAATTCGGAAACGAAACCAGTTCACCTTTAGACCGTTCTGCTTGAGCGTATCAAATTCGTACCATACACAGTACAGAAGCATTAAAACTGTACATTAATGAAAACTAAATTTGCGTTACAATATAAAACGCAGAATGGACAGTTAGGTAGAGAAGGTAGATAACTCTTTTCGAAAATATTACACGTAAAAAACAACTTGTCGCATAAGACATTTTGCTTTAATAGTTTTCATTTAAACCTCTTTTTTTTTCTACACAGGTTCATATAGAAAGAGATCATTTGCATGAAAAGGCGAATTTTTCTGAATGAAAGATTGCATTTGTCCGCTGCTTCGACGATGTGTTTTCCTCATTGAAAACTGACGACCTTTTTTTGTGCTTTTAGGCGACACACTGGATACTAGGAGAGTTCAGTTTTCAACAGTCAAACGACAGATCAAAAATTTATTCCCAACGGCTAACTAGAAAACCATAAAACCAAAGCAAAGCCAATACAAAATTGAAATCTCTTCTTTGCACGCACGTCAATTAGCTAATAAAACAAATCGTGCTACAGAAATTTGCATGAAAATGAACAGTAAAGTAAACAATTCCTTTTTGTTTAGGAAAACTCTGAATAAAACATACATTTCGTTGAAATTATCACCTACAAATTACCAACGTTTGCTTTGGCTTGTTTATTGGATTTTTTTTATGCATTTCAGAGGTCAAAATAAGTAATTGGCGTCCGGAAGCTGGGTAGCAGATATTACTCTGACTTGTAATTGGCAATTACTGCCCACCTATAATTGGACTTTCTTTGTTATTTATTCAGCATTTGTAACTGCACAAAAGGCAAATTCTGTTGATAGTATAATTATCAGTGAAGAAAATATAAGCTAACTATGGACTCGCTTCTTGTTATGAATTTTCAAGCACGAGCAATAGGCAACTTAAGACCCCATTTACACGGGTTCGGGCAAATTTTTGAACGGACATGCATTTACCGTAAACGAAAGGCGGATCCGAGCAATTTTTTGTCCGTCAAAAATTTGTGCGGACCAGTGTAAACGGGGTCATAGCGTTGCCCATTGGCCCAGTTGTTCGAAGGCCGATTAGCGCTTAACCCGGGGTTAAATTTAACCCGAGTTTTCCTGAATGATCATAATCTTTCTAAAAAGGTGAATTTCTCACCAGCGTTTTCACAATCATATGCTAAGCCCGTTATGAACCCGTCAAAGACTAAATCAAGAACAGAGGCACCCTCCAAACGATTCGACCCAAAAGCAACTGGAGGAACGCCTGATATGTTTACGGATGGAGCATTTACTATGAACAGCAGGGGACGCAAAAGTGGAGAGACTCCACCAGATGGACGTCAGGCTTCTGTAAAATCCAGACGGCGCTCACTCTCTGTGCCTCCTGACCCTGGAGAAAAGTACTCTATTTCAACCATTGTAAAAGCTCGGAGCTTGGCGATGAAGTGGCGAGGAAAGAATGGCAGAATGGGAAGAAGGCACACTGTTCTACCCACGATAACTGACGATTCCACAAAGTTCTCTCTCTGCGCAAACGTCAAGTGCAGTCCCCAGTTTGAGGCGGTCATAAAGATCTTACAGGATGACAACCCGGAAGATGTCGATGATACATTGAAAAGCTTTGAGCAACTTAAAATAGATTAAGGAATTTATATGTGTGGCTTTTAATGGCACGAATGACGTCGAAAGCTCTTCGCTTAAAAACAAATCGACGGCCGAGTAAACGTATGTATTGAAACGTCTTTGAAATTCGGAAACGAAACCAGTTCACCTTTAGACCGTTCTGCTTGAGCGTATCAAATTCGTACAGTACACATTACAGAAGCATTAAAACTGTACATTAATGAAAACTAAATTTGCGTTACAATATAAAACGCAGAATGGACAGTTAGGTAGAGAAGGCAGATAACTCTTTTCGAAAATATTACACGTAAAAAACAACTTGTCGCATAAGACATTTTGCTTTAATAGTTTTCATTAAAAACTCTTTTTTTTTTCTACACAGGTTCATATAGAAAGAGATCATTTGCATGAAAAGGCGAATTTTTCTGAATGAAAGATTGCATTTGTTCGCTGCTTCGACGATGTGTTTTCCTCATTGAAAACTGACGACCTTTTTTTGTGCTCTTAGGCGACAGACTGGATACTAGGAGAGTTCAGTTTTCAACAGTCAAACGACAGATCAAAAATTTATTCCTAACGGCTAACTATAAAATCATAAAACCAAAGCAAAGCCAATACAAAATTGAAATCTCTTCTTTGCACGCACGTCAATTAGCTAATAAAACAAATCGTGCTACCGAAATTTGCATGAAAATGAACAGTAAAGTAAACAATTTCTTTTTGTTTAGGAAAACTCTGAATAAAACATACATTTCGTTGAAATTATCACCTACAAATTACCAACGTTTGCTTTGGCTTGTTTATTGGAATTTTTCATGCATTTCGGAGGTCAAAATAAGTAATTGGCGTCAGGAAGCTGGGTAGCAGATATTACTCTGACTTGTAATTGGCAATTACTGCCCACCTATAATTGGACTTTCTTTGTTATTTATTTAGCATTTGTCACTGCACAAAAGGCGAATTCTGTTGATAGTATAATTATCAGTGAAGAAAATATAAGCTAACTTTGGACTCGCTTCTTGTTATGAATTTTCAAGCACGAGCAATAGGCAACGTTAAGACCCCGTTTACACGGGTTCGGGCAAATTTTTGAACGGACATGCATTTACCGTAAACGAAAGGCGGATCCAAGCAATTTTTTGTCCGTTCAAAAATTTGTGCGGACCAGTGTAAACGGGGTCATAGCGTTGCCCATTGGCCCAGTTGTTCGAAGGCCGATTAGCGCTTAACCCGGGGTTAAATTTAACCCGAGTTTCTTTTTCTTGTGTTCAAAAGCATTTACTCGGAAAATTTTCTTTGTTATTTTTAGAGCTTCCAACCATCAACTCGTAGACAAAAAATAACTAAAACTGAAATTTGTTTTAAGCTTTCAAATCTGAATTAAATCTCGCCTCGGCGGTCCTGCCGTCCTTCTTCTCCTGCCGTATAGCGAACACGGACTGCTTGCACTGTTCCGATAGTGAACGTAACGCACGAAACGGCACTAGAAGTGATTGTAGTTACAAAGGACCAGAAAGTGTTTTTCTAGAGTTTGACGGAAAGTGAAGTTTGGCGAAAAGTTATTTCAAACAAAATTATTGTCACACTTGTCACACAACGTTTGCCGTACTCTTTCCTCTCCCAGTTCACTATTGGCCGTGACCGGATTAGTCTGCTACACAGCCTTTTTTATAGTGTCGTCACGCACTAAAAACGGCTGTGTAGCACTATGACCGGATCGGCAGACCCGGCAGGTTTTTTAACGGCAAACAGTCAACTGCAATCAGTAACTGAATTTGTCTGGACCTGTGTAAACGGGGTCTATAAAAAAATAAAGTTACCTGTGACTATACTGACAAACTTATGTGTCAAAGATGTCCCATACGAAAATGATATTTTCGTTATCCACTACATGTGACTGACGAAAATGTAATGTTAATCACAGAAATGGACAGAAGCCTTTATTTTCCGGGATGGATCCAGCAATTTAATGACTAGTTTCCACCAATATAAATTTCTAACGTTTCTTGTGACAAAGGGTACATGTCTTTTCAAAAATCTAAATCCGGATTACTATTTAGAAGACAGATATTTCGTTTCTTTTATAAAATCCCAAACGGATTATTGATCCAAACAGGAGCCTATCACCCATCCAAATCAAATCCACAACGGAGATGGATCCTATCCAAAACCGGATACTTCGGGCATGATCCGAAGCGCTTCTTTACCAGATCGGAAAAAGGGGAAGGCCAGTGATAACTCGAAACAATTTTAATGACATCACCTCTTCGACAAGTCACTCAGTCGGCGTCTTTATAGACATTTTTTAACCCGAGGCATTGATTAAAAGATCGATTTTATCCGTTTTAGCAAGGGTGATAAAATCGTAAACAGGACCTGCGTTGTTTTAGTTCACAAAGCTGCTACACAACTTCACTGATGTGTCTTGTAACTTTTCCAGTGCATGTCTTATTATTCACAGAAGCGTAAATCAAATCAAATGATCGTATTAAATTCGACTGAGCAAGGCAAAGCACGACTGGGTTTCAAATCGATATTCAGGTAGAAACCAACAAAAAATCTATTTCGATCAATCGGATGTGCACAAAATGAGAAAAACAATTACTTTTTGTTGCATGTCGCGCCTAAAAATGTGTCCAAGCGAGGAAGTGGCCCCGATTTGAATTGGACAGCAAGGATTAATGCTGATTAATGGTCACATCTCAAGTCATAAGTTTGAGCGATAAATTAACCATTGTTAGGGTAAATTTCCGTCAAACAACATGGCTTTGAAACAGCGAAATAACTGACAGATAAAATGGCGAAAAACGACAGAAAGATGGGTTGAATAATAATTAATAATGATAATAATAATTTACTATTTTTATAGCCCTTATACATCGCTCTCCGAATCTTTAGCAGTGACGAAAACAAGCGCAAATACGATAGTAAAATACCGAATGGAACGTACTTTATCTTCTTCCTCAAACACGAAAAGACAAGATTACAAGGGACCCACGTACTCCCCCAAAGATACCGGCCTAGTGAATATGCAAAAATATCAATGTTTATATTCCCCGCGACGCAGTGGTTTTCCAAGCGTAGCCGGCCTACTACTTTGAAAACAAAAACATTTTACCGTAAGAAGATGTATCCGAAACATGTCAATCGAAGCACGGCTAGTTTCAAATAGATTTGCATGTTTGTTGATGTAAAAACAACGAATAACACTACAGAATGCAAGTAAAATCAATAAATTTCAATGATCCATATTTACATATTTTCCGAATGCACAGTTGTTGGTTGTCAACAAAACGCTGCATTGTATTGCTAATTAATAACAATTTCTGGAATGGAGCCAAGAGGGCGCTCAAATCGTAACGAACCTTGGTCGAAGTGTCTTCGAGCGCTCGCTGTTTTACGTCGCTCGTCGGGGGTAACGAGCGTACCTCACAAACAAAACAAGTTTTGGCCTGTTTCGAGAGCAAAACAGAAGCAATGTTGAAGCTGTGCATCGCTTGTAGTTCGAAGGTAAATGAGATTATTTTATGTAAAGCCAAAGGTAAAATAGAAATGTTCTTGAGGTTTAGCCTTCAGAGAGATTTTGGGAAGTTTTACGATTCATGGGTTTTACATAACAGCTTCGGTTCGAACGGCGCTCGTAACTAACGTGACCAAGTGATGTAGGGTTCTCGCGGCTGAGTTTGGCCAACAGTTTTATAAAATTTATTTTTCATCATCGATCTCTGTGATGAAATTATCTGGCTCACAAACAGAGTATGTTTTGATGTCCTTTGGACAGTGTGAAGTGTAGTAGTCGGTAACAACAGTGTTACGAGATAAGCAAAACATAACGCAATCGTAGTAACACCGGTTGTCTCCCGATAGTTAAAGTACAGCAAATAACTTTTATTTTTCTCTGTTAATTACAAACCAGTTTAAATTTAGAGACACCGTTTTTTGGTGTGACTGTTGCACAAACTTTGGTATAAACAAACTGAATAGTTACAACGCAGTTACATGCAGAGGGTGAATTCTGAACCTCTATCCCGCCCATGTCAGATGTAGCGACTAGGAAAACCGCCATTTCGCAAGGCTAAAAAACGGCAAAACGACAAACAAGTCCACATTACAGTACCTTTGCACAATACGCTTTCAGCTATAACTTAACCGGATCAGAACGGTTTTAATTTTTCAAGAAAATTAAGATACATTTGTCGGCATAATCATGAGCGCACCAAGATTCACTGACTCAGTATTTGTTTGTTTCAAATTGTTTTCAGTTTCTTGAAACATCACGGTGTTTTTAGCCTGAATATCAGACATTACTTCGAGTCGCTTACCTGGAGTAGTGACTCGAAGTAATGTCTGAAATTCATGTTTTTGAAAGCTTAGGAAATATCATCATTAACAAAAAACCTAAAAAAAGCCCATTAATTAAGCGTCGATCTTCTGTATACGTTTGCAAAAATCTAGGGGCGCGAAAGATCGTCTGAGTAAATTAACATCTCAGTCTTCCGTTTTCACTTTACTCATACGGTCAAATATTAAAAGTTTGCTTGTACGGTGCCGCCTCGTTAGAGAAGAATTGAACGCCTAACACCGTTAATAGTACAAATCAGCTTCAATTGCTCTTACACATCTTTGATTCCAAAGCCGTTGTCAAATCAGACTATTTCGTTTTGGCTTCTGCGACAGCACCAGTTGAAAGTAGGGCAAGTCGGTAGTCGAGGCGCGGTGGTTAGTGTCCAGACGGCCTTGGAACCCGTCAGCCTCGAAATAAGCACGGCACAGAAACGGTTTACCTCTCCGTGTTTTATCAAAGTTGTCACGACTGTACTTACGCTTTTATCAACAACTCAAATAGACCTTGTCACGGTTTTCGACGCCATCTTGGCCAGGAGGCAAACCCGTGAGAAATTACAGTGTTTTTATGAGAATCTAATGTCAAATAATTTCCGTAAAACTGCTTTTTTAAAAAATATATGAACTGTAAACTAAAGCTTCGCCCTTAAGGATTCTACTGAAAAAATTTGAGGGCGTTACATGCGCCAGAAGACCTAGCACCTTTTCTAAAAATTTTCTTTACATTTGTCTGTAAAAAAAAAATTGCACACAAATATATGGAAAATGTAAAGCAAGCTTCTGGAGAAATTTAAGCACAGTAACGGCCCCCAAAATTTGTCGGTAAAATCGTTTGCTGTGTAGCTTTAGTTTACAGTTCATATTTTTTCCAGAACAGTCGTTTTACGGAAATTGTTCGACATTAAAATCTCATACAAACACTGTAATTTCTCACACGTTTGCCTACTCGTCAAGATGGTGTCGAAAACCGTGACGAGGTCTATGTACACAGAACATTAACAGAAGCAAACAGGATTATAATGAAAATTGGCAGGATGCAGTGCTTTTCCGGTTTTTCATCTAAGTGTTTGAAATTAAATAAAGATCGAATATATGAAGTGAATCAGGTTACAGATGTAAACGTTTGTCTGTTGCGTTTGGTAAATTGGTTTTGTGGATCAGACAGAAAAATAAGATAAAGTATTCGATATTCAGCTTTTAATTTTGTACCTTAATTTTTCGTATGGTCAATTTTGGCGGTCAATTGAATTTTCTGAACTGGAAGGTATTTACATTTATAACTAAATCAAACCACAATCGCTTTCATTTTTGTAAACTGCACCTAAACGAACATAAAATGTTTGACCATAAAATTGATAGTTGAAACACATTAACAATCGCCTTTATTTTTGCAAGCTGTACCTAAACAAACATAAAATGCTTCAACATTAATTGAAAGTAAAACCAAGGTGAGTCTGCATGAAAGTTTAAGACACACCAGTCTAATTGCTTTGTAGGTGACTGTATGTTTTCTGTAATTTGTAAGAATTATTGTAATATCAAGCAGCTGTGATTATCGTCAAAACTTTGAACGAGAGTTAAAGAGCTAAGCAGTTGTTCAAAACAGTATTAAATCGCCTCAATCTTTGGCCCATGAAATTTGGGTTTTTACTTGTTCAGGTTTAAGCTATTGTGTCCCTTAAAAGGGCCGTTCGATTTACTCTTACATTATGCTGATTATGACATTGTTCTGTTTTACTTCTGAATATTGCATTATAGATTGCTGTACAGGGTTGTTACAAAAGCTTTGTGCAGTTCAAATCTGGAGTTGTTTGGGAGTAGGGACATCAACTGAATAATTGTGATATTATAAATGTTGAAGAGCCTGCTCAATTTTTAGTAAGATACATCAACTTCAAACATAACGCGAACTGATTTATTTAAATTAGGAATCAAGATGATGGTGTATTTAATTTGCTGTAACTGAGGGAAAAACCGAGGCATCGAAAATTGAATTGAGACCCATACATTGGCTATTGCAGATTCAACTTTTGTGGCCTATCGGGCCACAAGCTTAAAATGCTCATCACGCTGTTTTTCTTTCCTTTTGCACCTCATCTATAGGTCGCTGCCTCAAGTCGCACCTGCTCCTGTGGTCACGTGTTTTCACCGGAGACCCGCAGGATTGGCGGGAAACGATTCTCTGGTAAATCGTTTTACTGACAGTCATCATACTATACACAAAAAAACTATTCTTGTCTTTTATATTGGCAAAGTTTAAGTTAAATTCGATCATAACTTCAACGCTCAATAAATGATTAAAAGTTAAACGACCGAAATCATTAAGACGCTTTGATTTGAATTTAAATCGAAGATTCATTCAGTCAATCAGTGAAAGTCTTCAGTGAAGCTTTGATTCCACTTTAAAACTTTTATTTCTTGTTTCATTGATATCTCATTGGGCAAAACCTGACTCAAAGAGGAGGATTTTCGATCCATGTCTTTACCATGTTGACAAGAATGCTTTTTGAAATGATAACTATTGTGCTAACGGTTTTGTTCCTAGTGTTGTCGCCACTATCCATAATATGTAAGTCCAGAATTACATTTCTATTGAATGAAACCCCAATGAGGATTCGCCTCATTTGCTAGCTGCTTTGCCGCCAGACTTTCTGGTGATTTTTGAAAGAAAGAACAGGGTACTCCTTATCTACATTATATAATTTTTCAAAACAAATTCTGTCTCGAATCCCGTTGATTAGTCCCGACATTTTTTCGGGTAAATTTACAATTATATTGCTTAAATTGCCATTGCGATCATATCTTCAAGTGCACGTGTATTTTCCCAGCTCATGTCATCTTCATTCCATATGTCTCATTCCTTACACGGGTTGAGATGAACTCAACAAACTGGCCAGCTGCCAATGTATTTTTTTATATTAGGTAGATTTATCGATAATCACATTTGGTAATCAAGCTGCCAATGTATTGGTCTTGATCATAGCTCAGTTGGTAGAGCACTGCAGCTGTCAAACGCAGAGGCCAGATGTTTGAATCCCGTTGAAGCCCCGAAATTTTTTTCCGGTTAATTCGCAATTGCTTACATTGTTATTACAACTGTGACGATCATATAAATTCATTTGAAGTCTGTCTTGTTGTCCAGGATACCGACTGGGGACAGCACGGAGGCAATCATCTGGTAATCTTCATGAAAGACAGCAAAACGGATGCGTGAAGGCCGACCATACAGCCAAGAAGGTGAGATGCTCTTGGAAAGGCTTTAAATGGGAGCTTGATAAAATCTTTGATACGCCTGATTGGAAAAACGTTGTTGCTTGAAGAGTATAAAACTTGAAAAGTAGATATATGGGTAGACGTTTATTAGCATTGCAAGTTCAAAGTTCTTTTCAGAATAGCTTACACTATTAGCCAAGGGGGTGTCTCGCAGCTCTGTATTTGTTTACCTCTAACCAATTGCAACACCCACAAAATGTCATGCAGGCGCGAGTCACACCGGCTTGAGTTCACCCCGGTTGTTGTACCGAAGGGAAATTTCGCAACGGTATCGCGTAAACGCGAAACAACCACTCGTTTTAGTGTGAAGTCGATCTGCCGGTAGACTGGAACGGACAGCGCATGCCTAATATGTCGATATGAAGTGCACCTTCATATAAACGCAATATAAAATGACCCAGTCATCATGTAAACGCGATACGAAATCAAGAAGTCATCCCGGCATGAAACTCGAGCCGGTGCGAGGTTTCTTATGTAAACACCCCGTCAGCGCTGATGCGTAGAGCGTAGCCACATCTCCAACGCACACTTGAAAATAATAATAAAAAAACTGTTTTGGAAGAGTTAAAAAGAAAACGGCATGCCTGAAGCAAAGTCATACTCCAGGGGTTTGCATCCGCACGTGAAGCTCTTAATAACGAAAGCTCTTCTTGAAAGAACTTTGAACTTGCTTTGCTAATAAATGAATACTTATGAATTCTTTAAGCTGCATCGTTCGTGGTTCATACTGGGCAGCACTCGGTTTTGGTTTTAGTTTCACGCAATGAATAGAAAACCGTACTATTTTTTAGGTGAGAATAGTTTGTACTTGAAAACAAGGAGAAAAGTAGGACATTAAAATATGCGACAAAACCGATATTTAGGGATTTTTTTTAGAAATTTCTCATCGTTTAGTCTCTCCCTTTTAGACTTGTTTTGCAATAACAATCTCTTGCCGGTATTATCTTTTTCTTACCTGGATGATCAGTCAAACCCTTGCGAATTGCGTGTTTGATTTATATTTCTGGCTACTCCAGCAACAATAAAACTGAATTGAAATGAATTGAAGTAAGCATGGTGTAATCAACAAAACCTCTGATTTAATGCGATCAACTTATCCCTTACCGTCCATTTTAATCGCTTTTACTTCACAGTCGCAAAAGCCAATACTAAATCAAAACCTAAAGAGTCCTAAAGCAAACCAAGAGAAATCAAGGGTTACGCTTCACAAATCCTGCAAGCGAAAAGTACCGCACATGTCGAGTGAAAACCAAAGTAAAGGTAAAGTGAGAAAGCTTGACAACATCATGGATGTGTTCTTTTCCCCGGAGAAACGCTTGAAACTATCGCTTGCACTCAATGAGATCAACAGAAGATTAGCAGGGCAGATTCTCATCTGGAAAATGCTTCCTTGTGAAACAGGATAATCTGTAGAAGTCTACTCCTTTAGCAGTATATGGCTCAGTGAATGAAGAAGATGTACATAAATATAATTATATGACTGGCTCACTCAACACCAATTTCACAACCCGGTTCGACTACGCCTCACGTGCCGCGGCGTTCTTTTAGACAGAAGAGGATCCAGGAAATCATCAAACCATGCTGTCCGTTTACATGTATCCACATGAAACTTTTCATTTTAAAAAACGGACAAGTGTGATTAAGAAAGTGTTCTATTCTACGTAGAATTTAGACGGCTATACCTTACCAAATTTTATGCCACGGCGTATACTTATCGCTCCCCAATTCCAATGATTGGAATCCTTTAATGAATTTAACTGTTGATTTTTAAAGGCAATCAATACTAAAGAGACAGAAAATATTGCAATGTTTAATCTACAAGGGTAACTAATCTTCAAGGGTAAATCGCACGGATCGAAGCCCTTCTGGATCTTAAGGCGTAGACGGTGTCAATAATACCGAGCCAAAACCTTTGTGGTTTGCCCCGCAGACAACTCGCCAAAAGTTACCGGCGAATTTATTGAAAATGATAATGCAGTAACTACTTAGACTTTGTTGTTTTATGTTATTTCGTATTATATATTTGTGATATAGGGGCTCGTAATATCGAGTTTCCACTCCATAGAACTGTAGTAACTTTAGCAATGATTACATCCATAATGATACTTGATAAGTGCGTCAAAAGGAAACTACTGATTAGCTTTTCAGTTTGTACAGATCAGAACTGCCTGGTCACAAAACAGTTGTAAATAAACTGCATGTAACTTGAAAAATTTAGACGGGTACAGTAAACACACCCACATATAGAAGGAATTAAGGCGGAAATTGGTAAACTAATTACCAAATATGCGATACCGTTATAAATTACTCTTCTTACATACCATGTCATAAAGGCTGTTAACACAAATCGCGTGTTTTCAATGTAGGTGTTAACTGTATCGTAGCATAAAAAACACATTGATCACTCTGTGATACTTTGAACTGAACTGGACGACACTATTGAGACCGTTCAGCTAGACAGATTATCCTGAATTACTCAGCGTTTAATATAACAATATTAAGGGATTCAGAATTAAAAATGAAACAAGGTTGATGCTATAAATAAATAAAAAAGGCATATACAAAGGACCTATCGGGGAAGACTTACACGGAAGGGAACATCAATACATTGGAAATTACTTAGTACTGAGTGTATGAGGTATTGAATGAGTCTTTTAGCTTCGAAATTGAGCTCGCGAAAATCAAAATTGTTCAATAGCAGACCATCTCATGGTGTTAACGGTCATTGCTGTCCACGATGAAATTTTCCTGGCATTTAATTTCACCAATTATTTTAACCATGGACGAATAAGTAAGTGTTTCAGCAAAAGTCCTACTGGATTTAAGCCCAATAACTACTACTGGGGTTCAAAGCTAACATTTCGTGGAAATCTATTAAGTGAACTATGTTTGCTCTCAGTTCATGGCGTAAGCAACAACTCAGTTTCAGATTTATTTTGCAATATTTCTTACAAAGTTACAATATATGGATAGATTGAATTACACTTTATTTAGAATGACAAGTAAAAGAAAGGCAGCAATGGCGTGGAGACCCGTTAAGAAAACGTTAGAGATTATACTGTCATCAAACAAATCTTAATAGCTTCGGAATCGTAGTTAAGGGTATTATTAATAAATTTAACACTTGTTTGCCCGAGTAGTTTCAAAAAACATCCAGCACACAGAACGTACGAAAATTGAGGAGGAAATTGAAAGGGTTAATCAATTTAGAAGAGATAAGACGAGACTCCTCGAAATTACGATGAAAAGGCTCAGCGCAAATAAGATCTAAAAAAATACCTCTGCAGGGAAGTCAGTTTAGGGAAAGACTTAAAAAATAGACTATTTTAACTTTGTGGGAATAATTGAGTAGGGAAGCATGGCATTTCTGCCTTACATTTCAGTGCTGAAATGGGAAAAAAATTGTTACTTTATTTGATTTTGATGGTACCGTCGCGAAATAACAACTACAAGTAATCTGATAGCTTGAAATACGCACCAAAGAATAAATAACTGCAGCAAAATTTATGAACAGATGCATGAAACACATCCACTTAAGTTAACCTTGGCGTCGTGGGAAATAACTGAGTGGAAAAGGCACTGCACTTTTTACTAGCTACAATAGAACACTTACCACTAAGTGATTAAAACTCAACTGGATGAACTAATTGCCAGAATATATCGGATTTAAGTAATCTGCTGAATACTTAACGACAAAAGGAATCTCGGACCTTTATTTCCTGGCAAAGAATTAATTAGGAAAGTGTTTCGTGCTCTCAACAACTAGGGAGCTTATAAGAGAAAAAAATGTTTTTCTTCAGCGAAAATTTGTGTTTTATCGTGCATGGAATAAGGATTATTAATGATTAACCGGCGATGGAAACTGTTATACTCGATCAGTTCCCTCGAAATAGAAATAGCAAGCTTCTCAAGCGCTTAGTTTCTGTCAAAACCATTGAGCAAAGAACAACCATAATGTGATTAAAAATTTTTATACCCAACGGATGCCAACAGCTTGTTCCAATAAGTGTAGTGGAGTCAAGTATATATGAGAAAAAAATATAAGCCATTAAAACTAAACTATGGAAAAGGAGTGATACTTATTGACAGGAACTGCCATCTCCAATTTTATATAAACCTTTAATACGTTGGAAAATTAAGCGGAAAAGGTTTGTACTTTTAAAAAGTAGGTAGGGGCAAAGATGAACTAATTTGGCTCCTGAATGGCAGCGCTTATGTAATCTTCAAAACCACCTGTTACATGCAAAGACCATCAAATATAATTTAAGCTCATCATTGACGACTCCCTGTTATTGGAAGAGACGTGCAGGTAGACTGAAGAACACATCAGTTAATTTAGACTCACTCACGAACAGCTACGAACGCACAGTTTCTTTTAGTACATCGTGCCAATATCTTCGCTTTAGAATCTGGCAACACGTTTTGGATATCGTCATGAGCGACGTAACACAACTAAGCATGCCAGCTCAGATTAGTTTCCTCATTAATATCATCATTAATATTGTTATTTGTCCCTTCACTGTCCTCCTGAACGTGCTGGTAATAATGGCAGTTAAAAGAAGACCAAGACTGCAAAGAAACTCCAACATTTTGCTGGCCTGTTTAGCAGCTACTGATACAGCCACTGGTTTACTGACACAACCATCAGATATTCTGTATATGATTCTCAAGCTATCTGGAATCGGCGATAAAGGCGCTGGACCCACGATTTTGGATTTTCATAATTCTTCTTTACGCGCCCTGTTTGTCTGTTCGTCGCTTCATCTGATGTTGGTAACCTTTGAGAGGATTACAGCGATCAAATTTACAATGCACTACAATGCGGTTGTCACAAAAGACAAACTTAAGGTAGTAGTGGCTGTATTTTGGTTCCTTTCGGTTTCATCTGAGGTAGTAAATCACGTAACAGGCCAAACACTTTACTCAAACGTTTTAACAGCTTTGACTTTAGTTTCCTGTGTTCTTTTTATGTCAATTTCATACTTATTGTTGTACCAAGAAACGCGCCGACATCAAAAGAGAATGAAAAAGGAACAAATCCCTGCTGTTCTGTTATGTTTTTTCCCTGCGTTCATATTCCTTTCAGTTCTTTTGTACTTTTCAGGAGTCGTTGTAATGCAATCCAGTTTGTTTTATGTTGTTACACCTTTCATTCGTACATCCGGTATGTTAAACTCGTTTCTGAACCCACTTATTTACTGTTTGAGGCAAAAAGAAATGAGACAGTTTGTTTTAAGGTTTCTGAGATTTCCGACAGCAATACAAGTGGTGCAACCCATTGATAACTAATAGTTGTTAAAACTTAAAGGCAAGCTTAGCAAAATTCAGTGCCACAATTGGGCAAAAATTAAAGCAACACAAATTCACTCGTATCAGTTGTAAAAAAACGCTCAGGGTCTGTGAATTCGATTAAGATACGGTGCATGTAAAACTTGGGTGTCACGTTGTGTGAATAATAAATTTTATTTTTTGACACTGTCTTTTATGATTTGCCTTAAATCACTCGAACGCTGATCAGAAATGATACGATTTTGAACAAAAAACTAGGCAGCGCGATTCGTGTATAAATCGCAGTGCAGATGACCAATAAGATTGCGAGGAAGTCAGTGATTTCAAAATGTATGTAATAAACCAAAGATTGTCATAAAGCGTGATTTAGGACTATCAAAAAGGAATTCACGCGTAATATTCAAATGTATGACGGGGCGTAACCTATTCACAACTGAACCAGCATCCTTTGTACAGTGAATAGCACTGGATGCCCCAGTCAGAGCGCGCGAAAGTTTTTGTATACACACTACATGTAAAATAAAAACTATAAGCTATAAGTCATAAGCATTTGGCAAGAAGGCCCACAGAAAAACTATTAGGGCCTATTACGAGCTACAGGCTCAAAAAGAAAGCTTTGGAAAGGCAATTACGCATGTTGATAATAACTTTTAAAACGAGGGGAAATAAATTTAGTAGTTATCACATGAGACCTGCGCAATAAGGTTGAGAACATTCAGCGCAGATGGTAAAAAAGAACTACGCCTCACTAGCGAGGTCAGTTTAGGAACAAAAGAAAGCCGTCCACATGTTTTACTTCGTGGAATAGTTGAAGGAGGAAGCATGATAGTCGAATCTTACCTCACTCTGTGGGAAAGTGGAAAAAATGTTTTTCGGTTGGTTTTGTTAAAACGATAGAGTACAGAACAAGAATCATATCGTTGACGGTTTATTGGGTGGAGTCTGATAAATTTATGTACAAAATAAATAAAACAACGGCAGAAAAACTTACTGACGGTCGACGGATGAAACAACGTTCACCTAAGTTAAAATTAGTTTCGTGGGAAATAATTGATCGGAAAAGGCTCTGTCCTTTCTTCAAGCTGAACAAAAGTCATATAATTGATATAATTTTTAAAACATATGACTGGTCACTGGAGAAAAATTCATTATTTGAAAAAGCCTAATGGGTCAACCTAATTGAATATTTTAAATTTAAGTAATCGGATATACTTTTTAATGACAAAAGGAACCGCCGTCCTTTATAACAAAACTAAACGCAAGCCTGGCAATACGCCTTCCTTTTTAATTGTTTCATGGGAAGTAATTGAGTGGGATAGGTTCATTCTTTTAACTAAAGAACTTTGCAAATCGAAAATAGAGTAAAATTTAATTCCCTTATTGAGATACTGTCTTTCCAAAACAATCGCGCACCGAGCAAGGACTATTAAATGAAATAAAAGCATTTAATATAATCGGCGAGGGAAACTTTATATTTCAAGATGGGAGAGTAGGCCGGGGTGACCCCCTAGGGGGATATGAAAGACACGGGGATACTCATCGTCTCACTTTGCATTTTTGGTCTCACGTGGGGATTTCAGGCAAAACGTTTTTGCTGTCAAGTTTTTTTTTTTTTAATATTAGGTTACATGCGAGGAAATAAACAAACAACATTATGTATTTTTTTGTTTGTTTTTAGGTATCTTTTACGGGTCATATAAAGGTTGCGACACGCCCAGACTGATCCCATAAAAAATTTCCGACGAGAAATCCCCCCTTTGTCATATGGGGGGGCCCCCGGGGTAACTTTCCGGTGGTAGCCCAATGAAAGCTGTACGTCACCTCTCAGCAACGAGGGTGGAGTTGATACTACTTTAGTTTTGGGTTGAGATTATACTTGGTTCCTCATTCCTGAGAGGTTTTCCTCCCGGTGCTCCCACCATGACTGTCCAATTCCAATTAGACCTGAGACGCACGAACGCGTTTGAAATATGGATGTTTTTGGAACAGCTCCTGGGGTGAGTTAAGTACTAATAGAACATACAATAACCATTGTAACTTAGTGAGGCAGTATTTCAAGCGACAATTATTAGTAGAAGAAAGCATCTCCACTGTTAACCTTGACTTCCTGGGAAGTATTTGAGTGTGACAGGCCTGTACATGAGCTTGCAAACTCATTTGCTGAAATTACTTTCTTTAACAGGTTCTTGAGTTTTCTTGGGTGAACAGGTTACATGGAGTTTACATATGAGATCCTTTTTGAAAACCATATTTTATATGAAAAAGGCATCTCAATAAAGATTATTATTATTATTATTATTATTATTATTATTATTACTATTATTATTAGTTTACAAAGATTAGAACAAACTGAACAACAGATCAAGAGATAGTTATTGGCAGAAGAAATCACGTCTACTGAAGTTAGCCTTGACTTCATGGGAAATAATTATGGGTAACAGGTTTGCGATTTTAACTAGCCGATCAGATGAAAAATAACAAGCCTCTAAAGCGTCTATTTCGTGTCAAAACCACTGAGCACGGAACAACGATCATACTGAAATTCACAATTTTTAAACCAAAGTCAATAGCATATTGTTCAAAGATGCCGTCTCAAAGAGTACAGATGAGCGAAACAATATAAGCCATTGAAACTCCATTACATCAAGATCGAGCGATACTTATCGACAGGAACTCTCCAAGTTTTTGAAAAGCGAGATGAAATGATATGCCTCAATGGCAGTGCTCTTTATATCTTAAAAAAGCACCTGTTCTAGAAACCATCAAATACAGTATAAAAATTTTGTTAACGACTTTTCGTTACTCAAAGAGTCTTACAAAGCTAAGTGCAGATAGAAGAGCGCATCAGTTACCTTAATTTTGCTCAACACTCACTTTCTATTCGCACATATATCGTGCCAGTATCTTCGAAATTCGATACGTTTCGGATATCGTCATGAGCGACGTAACACAACTAAGCATGGCAGCTCAGATAAGTTTCCTCATTAACATCATCATTAATGTTGTTATTTGTCCCTTCACTGTCCTCCTGAACGTGCTGGTAATAATGGCAGTTAAAAGAAGACCAAGACTGCAAAGAAACTCCAACATTTTGCTGGCCTGTTTAGCAGCTACTGATACAGCGACTGGTTTACTGACACAGCCATCCGATATTCTGTATATGATTCTTAAGCTATCTCGAACCGGCGATAAAGGTGCTGGAAGCAGGGTTTTGGATTTTCATAATTCTTCTTTACGCGCCCTGTTTGTCTGTTCGTCGCTTCATCTGATGTTGGTAACCTTTGAGAGGTTTACAGCGATCAAATTTACAATGCACTACAATGCAGTCGTCACAAAAGACAAACTTAAGGTAGTAGTGGCTGTATTTTGGTTCCTTTCGGTTTCATCTGAGGTAGTAAATCACGTAACAGGCCAAACAGTTTTTTCAAACGTTTTCACAGCTTTGACTTTAGTTTCCTGTGTTCTTTTTATGTCGATTTCATACTTATTGTTGTACCAAGAAACTCGCCGACATCAAAAGAGAATGAAAAAGGAACAAATCCCTCTGGAAGAAGTGGAACGATTTCGTAAAGAAAGCAAAGCTCTCAAGACAACAGTGTTCGTAGTTGGGGCTGTT